TCCGCGTGGCGGGCCGGCCCCACGGCGACCCCCTCCATGGCGGGGCGACACCGGGAGAGGACGGGCGCCTGGAGAGCGCGGGAGTTCCGCCGGCCCTCGTCACGGCCAGTGCGCAGGCGCGGGGGACCCGCAGGGGCCGCTGGGAAATGTGGTTCACCTAGGTTCACCTAGGCCAAGGTGCTGCTCAGGTATGGGGGAGGGGCTTGCGGGCCACACCTTAAAGAAACATCAAACACTTTTTCCTTTCAGAGATTTGAGGCCCTTCACAGACTTTCAGAGGTGATTAAGTTGCCACTGTTTCAGGCAACAACATTCTTTTTGCAACAAATTGCACACAGACCCCTGAGCTAGATGTAATGGGATACGGCAGTACGAATAATGACGGTGTCATCTTTTTTTATTTATTTATCTTTGTCTTTTTGAGACGGGGTCTTGCTATGCAATTCAGGCTGGCCTTGAGCTCACTCTGTAGCCCAGGCTGGCCTCGAACTTGCAATGATCCTCCTGCCTCAGCCTCCCGAGTGCTGGGATTACAGGCGTGCGCCACCACGCCCGGTGACGGTTTCATCTTGAGTACCCATTACGTGCTTCTTCTGTGGCAACCTTTCTGTTAGGAACTATTAAGTTCCTATTTTGAAACATGTAAGGTTACTTATTTTGAGGAATTATACATTGTATTGCTACAGCCTGAAAGCTCTATTCGAAGACCATCTGTGATACTCCATCACATAATGACAAATGAATTGTGTTTATTGCAACACATATTTATTGAGGTTCTTTATAGCAGGGACTGAGATCTATCTGCCAACATCTCACCTCACCCCATCCCCAATATTATTTATTTTTTATTGATTTATTTTAGGTTTTTTGAGACAAGGTTTCACTATGTAGTTTAGGATGGCCTTGAACTCACCATATAGCCCAGGCTGGCGTTGAACTCTTGGCGATCCTCCTGCTTCAGCCTCCTGAGTGCTGGGATTCCAGCAATGCACCACACACCCAGCTCCCCAGTTTTAATTGTAGAGAGGTTTGGAGTTGGTTTACTTTATCCCTGCTATCTAAAATAATGTCTAATACTATCAGAATGTCTGCAAACCAGTTTTCAGAAGTCAAATTCTCCTTAGTATAACACTGCTGGAGCAAAGTCACATTTGAGAGAAGGATATGTTGTTACTGAATGAAATTAAAATTAATTTGGGAGTTGTGTACCTACTTCTTAGGAAATTGGTGAGGAAATCAAATTACTGTGCTCACTTGGGGAAAACTGAACCACACTAAATATATTGCTCTACTCCTGGACCAGGCCCTATCTTTCACTCTGTCATAGAGTCTGGCCCAGACTGAGGAAAAAAAATGTCTCCTACAATAAGTGGTGTAGATTCCAGAGGGTTAGGAAGGGGAACTAGACTATGTTTATTCAAAGAGGATGGTAGAAGAGAAACATTGAAAGAGACTGGCCTATGCACATGAGATAAAAAGACCTAAGTATTGGGCTGGGGATATAGCTCAGCGGCCTAAGTGGCATAAGCACTTGCCTGGCAAGCCTGAGGTCCTGAGTTCGATTCCTGGTACAAAAACAAAACAAAACAAAAAAGCCAGAAAAGGACCTAAGTATATAAAGTCCCATCATAATTATGGTAGATAAAGTCATACTTTCTAACCTCTTAACGTTGTAAGATCTACCATTATTCAGAACCAATCTGTGCTGAGAGTAGTGGCACATGCCTGAAATCTTTGGACTTGGGAGGCTGAGACAGGAGGCCAGCCTGGGCTACACAGCGAGATCCTATCTTGGAAAAAATAAAAATAAAAATAAACCTAATCTATACCGGGCAGGCGTGATGGTACTTCAGTATATGATTAAGGTAGCATCTCAAATCAGTGAGGAAAAGATAGACTTACATAGAGGTACTTAGAAAAATTGGTTAGTCATTTTGGTTTTGAATTTTTTTTAATCTTTTTTTTGAGACAGGGTCTTATTATATAGCTCAGGCTGACTTTGAACTCATTATATAGCCCAGGCTGGCCCCAAACTTGTGGTGATCCCCGCCTCAGCCTCTGGAGTGGTGGGATCTCAGGTGTGCGCCACCACCCCAGACACACAACACATCTTGATTCTTTTAACATCCACTTCCCCCTGGCCTCCATCACTTCTACCTCCATATCTCGGTCCTTCCTGGTTAGTCATTTTGTGAGGAAAGAGTCACAGCAGAGTATCCGATTGCTGATTATTTCCTGTCTTCAAGGGAACATAGAAGTATGATTAGTGCTCAGCCAACTCCTGGGAAAATGGCCCTTAGTACTTTTTTAAAATGTCAGTGATTGGCTAGCTTCCTGCCTTGTAGTTCCCCGGAAGGAGGGCTTCCGGCACACAGGGAACCACGGGCGGGGTGC